TTGTTTTTTACAAAAGTGGGTGGCTAAGACACCAGTTTGTTTACCTCTCTGGATACTACTTTCTGACATTTGTCAGTCTTCTGTATTGTTTCATTGTGTTAAAACTGAGAAGTTTGGAAGTGTTTAGCATTTTCCCTTCCTGTCAGAGCCTTCTACATAATTAAAATGGCAGTGAAATGTGAACTGTGATACAGTCTCTTGAAAAATATACAAAAGTGGGTGGCTAAGACACCAGTTTGTTTACCTCTCTGGATACTACTTTCTGACATTTGTCAGTCTTCTGTATTGTTTCATTGTGTTAAAACTGAGAAGTTTGGAAGTGTTTAGCATTTTCCCTTCCTGTCAGAGCCTTCTACATAATTAAAATGGCAGTGAAATGTGAACTGTGATACAGTCTCTTGAAAAATAGGATAAATACTTCTGGTTTCTGTAGAGTTGGGGTTTTTTGTTGATTGGTTTGTGGGTTTGTTTGTTTTCATTTCCTTTAAAGAGCCTTGAAACCTACAAAATCCTCACTTGCTTCATCCTTACTAGTAGAACAATAAGCTTGCTACTAGGAAGATTGTTATTGGTGCTGTGTGAAGCCCTTCCTTACTGTGACATGAGGATTAATTGATGTTTTCATTTTTATTGTCTCTTCTCACAGACTTGGACTGCATTGCACTTACGTTGTGTTATGTCTGTAGCTCTGAGTTTTAAATAAGTGGACAATTTTATGTTTCTGGAGTTAACTATATTGGTATTGCTAATTAATTTCAAGCTATGAACTTGAAATATTAAGAAAATCTATCATTTTTTTTTTTCAAGCGGGCCCAAGCTGTTCTTCAGGCAGTGACGGCTGTGCAGGCAACAAATGCTCCCATTAGTGGGACCACTGTTAGTGAGAGTGCAGTGACTCCAGCTCAGAGTCCAGTACTTAGAATAATTATTGACAACATGTACTATCCAGTAACCCTGGATGTTCTTCATCAGGTAAGCCAAATTTCATTTTAACTTGAGCTGTGACTGGAAGGAAGACATGTGTAAAACTTTGCAATGTTTTTGGCAGATATTCTCTAAGTTTGGTGCTGTATTGAAGATAATCACATTCACAAAGAACAACCAGTTTCAAGCTTTACTGCAGTATGGTGATCCAGTGAATGCACAGCAAGCAAAGCTAGTAAGTATAGTCGTGTTTTAAGGCTGGAGATGTTGCTGTACTCTAAACATTTGTAAAATATTAATAAAACAAGAGTACTGACCATAACAATGTGTCATGCTCCTCCACCACTTGTGTGAAGTTTTTGAGCTTAAAAAAATAAGTGAAAGTTGTTATATAATGCTATGTTGTGTGAAATCGGTGTTTAATGATAGTAGGTTTATGGATACTGTGTCTAAAGTGTTTTGTACATCTGTATAAACAAATAATGCACAGACATGAAATAATATCCAAGGCTGCAATAGTGAAAATGTCAACCAGAAGTAAAAGTGTAGAACGTAATGATGCTGCACAATTAATTCCCTGTAAGCAGGAAGTTTAGTAAGTCCATTGAATTGTTGTTGGTACATACTTTCTAAGCATCATAACAAAGATGTGATTTGTGGATTAGTTATAGATTTGTGAAAGTATTTAGTTGTAGTATACTAAAAAAAAAAAAAATAAATCTAGACTTCATTGTAGCCATAAGTGCCCAGAAGAGAGACTGCAGTTCTGCTCTTGTGACCAGGCTGTGAAGAAGCTTGGCAGCAGTGAGAAATGAACAGGATCTTGCGTTTGTTCTGTAGGGAACTCTCCTATCCTGGGTAGGAGAGGCAAGAACAGGTAACTGGTTTTATTCGTTATAGCAGGAGAGAGCCTGTGGATAGATTATGACAAAGGTCAGCATCATGTCGTCTAGACCAGATGTTATGAATTAATTGAATGGGATGTATTCACATTTGTGGCAATAGGAAAGTCGAACCAAAAGGGAAGGCTAGATTTTTATTATTATTATAATTTTCAAGACATAAATGGAATTCTTTTATATTTTCAAACCTTCACATGCAGTCTGGGTTTGAGGAAGGCTGATTAAAATTGATGTGCTGGTTAAGTGTTGCTTGGCAGCATAGAAAGTGCTTATTGCTCGTAGATGACAGAATAGCTGAGAACTTCACGAAAGTGAAAAGCTCACACCTCAGGCTAAGTTGGCAATTAATATCTCTTAGTAGAGGAAAGCCAAAAATAGGCTTAGTTTTCTGTTGCAAGGAATGAAGACTGTATTGAAATAAAGACTTCATTAAGTGGTGGAGGATGGTAATTTTTGTCCTTATCACTGAATGAAATACTGGGCATTGATTAAAAAACTGAGGTGGTCGAGACAGGGAATTACAAAAAATGAGACATTTTCAAAAAGTAGTGTGAGTTTTCATGCTATTGAGGAAAACAGCAGAAGGGAGAAGAGACAAGATGATTTGCAGCTTGATTTATGGTGATCTACTTTAAGATAATCTATTCCCAAAAAGCACTCTGGAAATACTTACAGATTTGGAACACAATTTAAATTAGCGATGTCCTTTTCAGAGGTGAAATAGTATCAAATATCGTGCCCCAGGGTAAGGGAAGGTGCAAATATGTCACTGTACTTAAAAACTATGAGGTTTTACGTAGGTTTAAAATAGTAGTTCGCAAACTAGATCTTTAACCTACAAGTGCTGCCAAAATTGATTGTAGACATTTAGATTCGTATTTGAAATAAATAAACAGCTGAATGTGGAATGTGTTTCTTGCAGAAGGTTGTAATTCAGTCTCAGGTCGCGTTTGGAAAGTTATTTTTCAATAGTGGATATTACTGCTGCTTTTGAAGTGCATTTTTGACACAAAATACGGCATCAAGTGATAAATCTTTTGACTTCGTTTTTTGAGTCTTGCATGTATTATCAGAAGATTTAATGGAGAGATTACATCTGTGAAATGGACTGTAGTCATTTTAGAGTTATCAGTGTAATTCTAGGAATATATTATAAAGAAGTGACAAAATAACAAAAGGACGAGGTATGTAAAAGTATGAAAGGAATCTAAGAATATCTTGCTGTTGTTGACTTCTGACAAACTGATACTAGCTCGTGGGATACTGTATTGGTCATAATTTATAAAAAAAAAGCATGTATTTGTTTCTCCAGTTTGCATGCTTTGATTAGGGTAGCTGTTCGCTAGTGGTAGCTCATGTGTGAATGACTAAACTTGATTGAATAACAGTGACTCCTGCATGTACAGTCATTGTCAGAGTGATCTTGGAGCTTTAGTGACAAATTGAAATGGCCTTAGGTTTATTGTTTGATATTTTAACCAATCTATACATAAATAGACAAAATGCTAAGAGTGATACCAACTGCAAGCATTGAAGGATGCTAAATTTGAAGGAAGGTTTGATTTCCCCACTACCCTTACAAGGTAATAATTTAAAATATATTCTAATGGTTGAGCTACTGTGATGAAATATCAAGTGCCACAAGAACAAAAATGTCTAAAGGAAAGAAGCAGTCAGATGATAGGGAAAAAACCCTTCAGTTTAAATACATCTGGAAATACAGTAGAAGCAAGAGGATGTGGTGGCTGCACTTAAGTTGCATGGAGTTCAAAATTAAAAGCATGGTAAAAGTAAAGAAGTTTCAATCTGTTTTCCATCCATTTTTACTGTAGAAGATAATGGGGAAATTTAATTTTCCACTGGCGCTCTTCACAGGAAATCAGAATGTGGCCTTAATAGAAATTGAAGACTTATTAAGGAAGTTAAAGAGCAATTTGAAAAACTCAAGTGATGTAAGTACCAAGGAGAGATGCTATGCATTTGAAAGTTCTGAGAAAACAGTGACACTGACAAGAACGTACAATATGAAGCTGCTGGCCCGCTGGGACCTCTTTTGCCATTTGAATGAGCAACTAGTGAAAAA